CCCCAAACCATTTTCATAGGTTTTGTGGCCTTTTAAGAAGGTATCAGAATAAGCCTCTCTCAGGTTTGCAAAAGGCTGTTGGATGGATAGGAATCTCAGTGTCTTCCTTGTCTGGGAAAAGTGTTGAGACACGGCCATGGGGAGAATGCTCTTACACTTTCATTACTGCCAGCCTGCTCTGCGTTCTTTTCAACGTAAAACCCTGTCCCGGTGAGAGGTACTCTCACACCCTTTCACTCGGCACATCTGTCTGAAGGCATGAAGCCAACGAGAATGATTTGGTAGAAAACTTGAGTAAATGTGCTGTAACTTCTATTCTGGAAGTTGCCTCTCTTCTATTCGTTGGGCATGGTCACAGATTTTGGCCAGTAGATATGCATTGGATGTCATTTATTGTTTCTGCAGATCTAATCTTTGGCTGTATTGTCCTCTTTCTTCCATGCTCTTAAAGGTTTGTTTTAAATGTGAAAGAATTTACCTTTTTGTGTGTGTGTATGGGTAGGGGAAGCTAACTGAACCAAATACATATATTATCTTGTGCTTGCAGTATGTGAAAATGGTTTAAATAATAATAATTGGCTAATTTATCTGTATTCTTTTTAAAGTTAGAATGTGTGCATGAAGGGGAAGAAACGCGTCGTGCATTTGCGCTGTAATATTAGGCATAAATGCCCATGTCCTTCAAACTCTTCCAAGAGAGTGGGTGGACAAATAAGAAATGTCAGGTTACGGCATCCTAGAGGCCATCAAAATAGCAAAATGTCCTTGTCTGTTGACAGTCACTGCTTGGTCTGCCACGATGCAGGCAAGAGCTTTGTGGTTTTTATCATATACTGGTATTCTGTGCCTGCGGTGGTGTTATGTGGAGAACAGCCTGGTCACTCCTTTAAGCATTGTGCAACCTGCTGCTAGATCTGAGCATGGTAATGAGCCCATTGACAATGCAGCTGGTGGTGCTCCATTTCCATTATCCTGAAGAGAATACTGCTTATCAGACACCTATCAGCATCCACCCTTCACATGCTAAGAGGACAGAGAAGAGTTATTTCTGGCTGTAGCACTATGGCTTTTTGAGTATAGTTCCCATTACTGACCATCTATCTAAATTGTCTTGTGATGGGAGCAGTGCATTAGCACATTCAGACCTGGGAAATGGTGCAGCTGCGTTCATTTTGCTCTCTTGTAGGAGCATAAGAAAGGACTGGGATGCAAGTCTGACCTTCCTAAATGTACTTCCCTGAAAATCTTCCCAATTGCTCTGGGATGCACTTACTAAGAAGTTGACACCGATTTCAGTATCCTCAGGAACTTTAAATACTAAAGGGGGTGGTGGTAGGAATGGCTACGTAATTTTTGGCAACTGCTGTATACTTATCGTCTCCAGATCATGCTTATTTTAGTAGTCTTGCACCCACCAGGTTCTAATATTCTCCAACCGTTTAATAGTCAGCTGTCTGTTTTTAATGCCCTATAGTCTTAGCAGAGATTGCCCTCAGAGAGAAATGTTACTGCTTTTATCTAGAAACAGTTGCATTTTTGTTTTTAATCCTCTTTCTAATAAATTAACTTTTTGACATGCTTCTTCCCCTAGAACAAATCCCTCCTACTTGTAGAACTGCAATATTTTACTGAAACATCATAAAGTTCCCATTTGGGAGCTACCCACTTATATCTTACAATAATTCTATTGAATGATCTATAGCTCCCCCTTTATTCCCTATTAGTATTTGGCTGATCGATGGGCAACCTAATTGATTGTTAAGGTCAAATATCTTTATTGGCTGATGCCGGAATCTTTTCTCATTACAACTTGAAAAACCTCTTCTATGGTCCGTTGGAGTTCTTGTACTCATTTTTGCACACCAGAACAATAAACTTCATGATGTAGATGCTGGTGAGCAATGTACTTATGCGACGTTTTGTGTATTCTCAGGTGCAGCATTAAAAGGACGTGAAATATTGAGGTATCTGCGTTGAGCAGAACTACAGTAAGAAACACTTGATCATGGGTTTTCAGATTGTTCTGTGAATAAGGTAGCTGTAATGCGAAATAAATTCTTTGCTTTTGTGACAGCTTAATCATTTCTGAGTGTACAAATGCAGAACCTTAACTGCTCTCATTTTGGCTCGTGATGCTCACTGAGGTGTGAGGGAGATTAATGTGTGCTGCAGTACAGAAACAGGATCCTTGTGATTGCCTGATATTTTGCTAAACTTCCTTTTTCTTCTGGCGATAGAGTTCACCGTGACTAGCTGATCTTTGTTTGGAAATGTACAGGTGTGCTGTAACAGCCCAGTATCTCCTCAAACGGCGGGTATCCTCACATAGCCGCAGAGGAGAAAATAGTGGAGCAGTGTCAATAGTCAGTAGAGACAGTCACAATAAAATGGGGTTTTGCTTTCTCATCCAGGGTTTGTGATAGTAATCTGTTACAAAAGTCATATTTACCTCTGACTTTTCACGTATGTTAGTATATTTTTAGGCTGGGGTCTCACTTGCCGTTCACAAGCGTCCCCCCTGCTTTTTCCCAACGCAACGCTGTTTCTGTCACCGAAGCATTTGCTGCATCTGGCAGGATGGATATCGATGCATTCTGCTTTACTTAAGATGCTTATAACTGAATTAGTTGGCCAAGACTCCTATATAGTTGATGATGCTGATTCATTCAATCATAAAATTCGCTATTTTAAAAGCCTACTTTAGGATGAGAAGAATTGCACACTGGACTCTATTGTGGGCTAATGATGTTAGGTAATATTTGCAGATAAAGCCCACTCCTGAAGACAGGGTCACCGAGATACATGGCTACTTGTTGCTGGTTTTTTTGGTGTCTTTTTTTATTTTTTTTTTAAGAATCTGATTGTTGCCTAATGTAAAACAAATAACTGGTTCCACCAAGGGGGGTGCTAGAATTGGAGGTTATTTTTGTCTTCTAATCACTAGATACACCCTTGTTTTGTTTGGTGTTTTTTGTTTTTTGTTTTTTTTTGACAAGTTAAGCTAAAGAAAAAGTGCCTTAGAGGTTATCTGCTTAAATTAGATGGTAGCTTGGTGATTAGAGCACTTTACTGGAGTATATGTGATATGAGGACTCAGACCTGTCCGTCTTAGGAGGGTCTGAATTCCAGATGTCCCACTTTCTGGGCAAATTCTGTAACTATCAGCTTTCTGTGAAGGAGGAGGCTGACAGCTCTTCCCCCTCTGCCCCAGTATCTCCACAAGTTTCCAACCACCAGCAGTTGTTGAATGCTGTCTCTATGCATAAATACTTAATACAAACGCGACCTGTAAGGAGACTGCTTGTTGTCTTGCAGTTGCTTCGTGTCTGATATTGCCTGAAAATGTGGTTCTTGGGTTTTTGGCTACCTAAGCAAGTGGTTTTGTTACTGCTTCTGAGGGCAGATGGGGGGGTTGTAGCACCTTCTTGAATTTAACCTCTATATTATGCTCAGGTGATAGGCATTTTGGAGTGAGATTACGTGTCTTTTAGCCATGTGGTTTGATAGGCTGGAGTTTGAGCCAGATGCTTCATATAAATAAGGGAATTACCTGTATGCCTCTAACGGCTCAGCTAGGGTAGGTATACCTTTATTCCAGACAGGCAGGTCTAGATTAGGATTTATATTGGAATAAACCTGGAAATAATTACTTGATTTTTAATCTTTTTCTACAGCTGTACTTTATAGTTGTTTTCTTTTCCACCTATAGGAAAACTCACTCTTCTTGATTGCTACAAATCAATATTTTATGCAAAGTTAACACCTGTTTTACTGAAGTTGGTATAACTTTTGGTTACCAAGCTACCACATTTTCCCAAATGGAAAATGTTGTTCTTTCTTACTAGATGACTGGGTATTTTAATTTCTTTTTCCTTTAATTCCTGCTATGTGTGTGTCAAGTTATATTTGGACATAGATAAAACCATCTCCAAGGTTGGGTTGGTTTCTGGAGTTTTTGTGGTTGGTTTGTTTTGTGTGGGGTTTTTGGTTTTTTTTTGTGTGGGTTTTTTTTGTGTGTTTTTTTTTTTTTTTTTTTAGGCTGACACAACCTTTTCAGTATGATTTTTTTTCTGGAATTCTCTTGAAACATGTTTTATTGCTACAACTTCTATCAAAGGCAGTAACAACAAGCTGTTTCTGATCTCCTTGGGTCAGATTTTTCAGAAGTCTACAGTTACCTATGGATGTGGAAAGTTAATAGTGAATGGTATCAGCATGACTGAGCCCTTGAATATCAGAGAGAGTGGGGAATGGACTTGTTTTGTGTTTCAAAAACCTTACTGAATGGATTTTGGTAGTCTTATAGATGTCTTTCAAGCTTGTAGGATTACTGGCTCTCATACTTCTCTACCTTTGTGTGGAAAAGTTCATTCATTGACTTGAAGTTGCTTCCCTGCTTTTTCAGTTCTTAACTGGACTTTCAACTAATTCATCTGACATAATCTAAATGAAGAAAATATTATTTCCATGTCTGCTTGTTTAAACGAAATTGGGAGGATTTGAGACAAAATCTTTTTCTAGCAATAGAAACTAGAAGTAGGGATATCTAGGATGTTGTAAATGCTTTGTTGGGTAAAATGTGCGTCTGAAAATACTTGATTCATTATACAGGAAGATGTTTCCCTTGGTTCCATATGAATAAAAAGCAGCGTTTTATGAGTTTACTATTTAAGTTTCAGTCCCAATCCCCCCGCCCTGATTTTACTTGATAAAGGCATATTTCTTAAGAAAAGTGTATTTAATTCAACATATACTGTATGTGTTTTAATTTTCAAAAGATTTCACTAATGGAAAAGTTGTTTAATAAGGGTAATTTTTAAAGGCTCTCTAGTGTTGTATGCTAAAATTTGAAAGGTGGTTAAACCACAAGAAAGCACTCCAACTGCTTTATAGAAAAAAGAAAATAAAAAAACCTGGAGCACTGTATTTTGCAGTTGTTTCTGTAATTAAGAATATGTTGTGTTCTGTTAACATTTAATTTAATTTTCTTTTAACTGTAGTTAATGATGAAGAACTAAAGAAAAGAATAGCTGAAGAACTGGCATTAGAACGAGCCAGGAGAGACTCTGAAGCTCAAAAGAGAAGGTTGGTTTGTTAATAACAATATTGAAAACAAACATGTACGTAATGCTTTTATTACTGTTATTTATCTACTTACTATAAACAGTTGAATTCTGTGCCCCAAGACAAAATGGTAGCTAGGACCTTTGGGTGATATAGCAAGTTTTGATATTAAATACGTGTTAAAACAACAAATTAACTGCAATTTCCTTGTAAGAGCTGATATAAAATGTTGATCTAAATCCCTTTTGACCTCATAAGCCTGACTAATTTTTTTGCAGTCTTTTAAGCTCAGTCTTCATTGATTTCTCCTGAGTCCAAATATTCACTTTGCAGTGTAGAGATAGAAGTAGCTTGAGAGCGATGCAGGGGTGGGTTTCTTATAACCCCTCTGTTTGATCAAAAGGTAGACTTTAACAGCAGCGGAAATGGTAATTCTTGTTATTTCTGTGAATTCTAGGTATTTCTGTGAGCTGCGGTATGTTTGGAACTGCTTTAATAGTTAGTAGTGCTTTGAAGATACAAAATGCTGTATTAAAACAGTTCACTAGTAGAAAACCCTTTTGATATCCTGTCTGAGTATTGAAACATTATTTTCTTATGCATGTTTTTTCAGAGATTGTAGTTACTGTGAAAGACTGGGTAGAGTCATACAGAATGAACCTGCAGACTTTGGATGCAGCATTTTTACGATATACTCTGTAATGTTTAGTATGGTAAGGTGAGATTATTAGCAAGCAAAAAAATTCCTGTTTGAATTTGAAAGAGTTTGGCTGTATGGTGAACTTGGTGGACTTGTGTGTTAATTTGTATTTTCTTTCAGTGATTTTCCTAAATAGATAATATGACGCAAAAAATAAATATTAACCTACCCATTGTCCTCCATTCTGAAAATGGGAAGAAAGGCTCATTATGATGAATTAAAAAATTAGAATGTAATTAGTGCTACTTAAACTGTCTGCATATATATCAGTTGTTTCCTACGCATCATTATATTATTATTTAATTGAGTTAGGTTGATGGAGTATATAATTAGATAGGACTATATAAATGTCCCAGGAAAAAAAAAATCAGGCTTTTTTTTTTTTTTTGAATCAGCAATAAAGGAAATCAATATGTTACAGTGAAATCTCTCCTCTTTTGAACTGGGCTTTGACAGGAGAACTTGCATTACATTTGAGCTTAATGGTGACTGCTCAAGAGTTCAGCTGAATGTGATTACAGTATGGAAATATTTGTTTTCTAACTTCAGTATTTTGTCATTTGACACTTTTCAGTAATTTTCATTAAGTATTCCATAATTCAGTTTTCATGGTTTGTGCATTGATCTGTGAAAGGTAGGGAGCAGATTGGCTTGTCGTATACCTGATTTTATATTTTGTAGGAGTAATGCTGGCAGTCTTCCCTTTACTTGGCTAAGGATTAGTGAGCAAGGTATTGCATATTAAAAGGATCCTGTAAAATCTCTTTTTGTTGTCTTAAAATTAGGTTGAAGAATCTGTGCTTCTGAAATGTAAACTATAAAAAGAAATTAAAATAAAAATATAAAGAATAAAATGACAAATATGAAGTCCTGTTAGCAGCATTAATCCTTTTCTAGTTTTGATTTTTTTAGCAGTAAGCAAGGATTTCTTATTATGCTTTCTACACAGTAGAAAGCATAATATTTTAACCGGATTGTAGAAGCTCTTTTCATGTTGGATGAAACAACTTTAAAAGATGCAGATGTTTACTTAGCTACTACTGGAGCTCTTTATGGGCTGAATTCTGGTTGAGGTTTGTGTTTTAAAAACATTCAAGAAGCGCTGTAGCAAATGTGGAGCTGTTCTCCTCCGGATCACATTCACCTGAGAATGATGTGAGCACTGCTCTGTTGATCGCTTTAAGAACAGGTTTATGTTGTTCAGGTTCCGTATACCTACCCCGCCTGTTTTATTCTAGTTGAGAAAGCCATCTGCCCACAATGCAGGGGCATGAGAAGTGTTTGTGCAAGGCTTTTTCAAATCAGGATCCATCCTTTCAGGCAAAAAAAAAATGCCGTCTTCTGTACAACCTCCTGTGCCAGTCTTTTGGACACTCAGGCACTTGCAGAGTCGGTCTAATTTTTCATCATTACTGGACTTCAATTTTCAAGTACCTACTTAAGAGCTAGATGCTCATTCTTCAGATAAAGTATTTTGCCTCGCGTGTCTGTCCGGTGCAGAGTGTTCTAGGTAATGTAAACATGAAAAGGAAAAAATTACTCTCAGCTGTAGTTATTTGTAGTAAACATACAAACACATGGATGCAATGTTGGAAAACAGAACAAAACCTGAGTTCCCAGCTGTACTGTGCTTAAAACGTGTTCCGGAAGGAAACTGTTAATGGAGAACAGTTTATAGTATTCATATGTCAATAGTTGCACAAGAAAAAATAGTGGTTTGTTTTTTTTTTTGGAAGAGGTATGGTAGGGGCACAAACCCGTCATTAGTGAACTTAACTGCTATCCTAGTATTAACAACGACTTGACCTTGCACTTCTGATCTATTAACAATTTACTTTGATAACCAACTGCTTTTCTTTGTTGACAGTCTTTTAAGTCACATGCTGATGGTATGCGACACAAAATTAAAGTTGTTTTATTTCTGCATTCATTTTATGAGATTTTTTTTTACCATAGATGGTGTACTTTGCATGTGTACATTCTCATTCCTTTGTCAAAAATACTGTTCTTTTCCCCCAATCTTTAAGTGAAACAGCATTGAAACATATAAATATCTGAAACTTGCAACTGTTCGTTGTGTCTGATTCCAACTGCCTAATAGCTAATTTCAGTACTGTTTCAGTATGCAGCGTATGACCACATTTTGGTCTGATTGTGAAATGTATTTTACTCATTTCAGGCTGTGACGGAAATTTTATTTTTACTTGCTATATAATTTATTTATTCACACATACATACACAGTACAGATGGACTACTCTTACTATATAAAGTTAAGATCTGTGCTTATTTCTGGGATTAGAACTAAAGACTGACTCTTCAAATTGTGTTTTAATGCTGTTAATGCACTCACAACACATGAATTACACAGCTCTTGTTTAAAGGGACTTTGAACAGTTATACATAAAGTAGGGATTTAGACCCAGCTTTAGAACACGTGTCCAAAATGGTATGCCCACTGGTGTTCCATGTTATTTCTGTATGCCTGTTCATGTATTTTCATCTCTTTTTTTTGTGTGATTGAATATAGATATAAGCCTATATGCTGCTTTGCTGAGAATATGAAGCTTGCCTAAACTTTTGGCTGTGTGAGAATGGGACGAAAACCAGGAGGGTCCTTGGGAACTTAAACTTCCTCACAAATGATGATGAACCTTTACAGGATTTTCTTCCCCCAGAATTTGAAAATCCATATAGAGGCTGTGGAAACATTGTAAGTTGATGTGAAGGTTAATAGTTATGGTCATGAGAATGTGTGTGACTTCTAGTCCGTTGATGGAAATTTAAGCACTACCCAAGGAGTGAATTCCCCATGTTTGACTGTCCTGGGCCAGGACACTGCCACATCTCACTGTCTTTGCAGTCCAACTAATGGACAAAGATTCCTGGAAGTGCTTGAATAAAGCTGCCTTTTGGCTGATTGTCCACTGGGAATATACCTACTTATTCGGATAGACTGGATGAACGCAGTTGCTGTGTATAGAAGTCTTTTTTTTTTTTTTTTCCCTTTCCATCATCTTAAGTGGAGGCAACGTTTATTCTCTCAGAAATGAGCTGAGTTGTACGTGAAGGAAGGATGTCTACTTGCCTTGCGTCTTATATTTTCTCATGTAACTGCTGGCCAGTGTTATAGAAGGGATATATGAGTAGGTTGGACCTTTTGTCTGACTGGTGTAGGTATTCATGGAATCATGGAATCGTTAAGGTTGGAAAAGACCCTTAAGATCATTGAGTCCACCTGTTAACCTATCACTTCCAACCCCACCACTAAACCATGTCCTTGAGCACCATGGCTACCCAGCTTTTAAACACACCCAGGGATGGGGACTCAACCCCTGCCCTGGGCAGCCTGGGCCAGGGCCTGACAGCCCTTTGGGTGAAGGAGTTTTTCCTAATATCCAACCTAACCCTGCCCTGGCGCAGCTTGAGGCCGTTCCCTCTCGTCCCATCGCTTGTTACTGGGGAGAAGAGACTGGCCCCCACAAGAGCGTATTCTTGTGCTCTTCAATCAATTGTGGAAAAGAGGAATGTGTTAACTCCGTCTTGCGTTTCATAATAAAGTCATATTGACCACAAAGCATACTGAAGAGCCAAAGTTGATTCTAGTTTAGTCGTTCTTTTACTCGGCCCAATTATTGTTTCTCACTTCAGTTTTTGAACATTTGAAATGTTTCATCTTAAAAGTATTTTCATTTAGAAAGTTAAATTGATTATTATTTGATTGCAACAGAATTTGCAGTGACTGCATTAGTAGATGAGCCCCGTTAATGTGCCAGAGCTACGGTCTTATGATAATAGTCAAGGTAACATACAGGTTGTAACACGATCAGTATTACAGCAATTATAGCAATAATAGTATTATTGTTACAGTTGGTAATATTAGAGAGCTTCTTTATGTTCTGAACAGAAGTAAGAGGAAAGAGTAACGTGCCTTTTCTCCCTAGAGAAAATATAGCTTTGGTATTTCTATAGTCTGTTTTCCATTTCGTGTCAGTACCTCCCAGAAATATTTCCTATTCCAGTGTTACAGAAAGACTCCACTCGTTATAAGGTTTCGTATGTACTGAAAACAAAGTGTAAGCTAGTACCTTAATGGTTCAACGAACCACACGCATATCACTACTTTGGGCATCTTTAAAAGGCTTTCTGGGTGTGATTTTTGTTACTGCCTCGGGTATGTGTGGTCCCTTCAGACCTACTAAAGAAGCAGGCTTTTGCCCTCTGTGAAATATGTGCTAAAACTGCCGTTACACAACTCTAAGACTCTTAAAAATGAGAGAATAGGCACAAGAACTGGAGTTTGACAGTAGTGACAGGTAATAC